CTCAGGACTGATAGTTCAATCTTGATCTTCAGTATAAGCATGTAAAAAGATTCTAAAAATCACTATAAACAGATCAGAGGTCTAGTTGGCTTCCTATGCCATCACCCAATGGCAGCTGTCTAGAGAACAGTGTAAGAAAAGTCCATGAATAAACCAGTATTTTGTTATCCCCTACCAGCTTCCAGTAAGGTGCAGCTTAGGGACATCCCAAGACAGTGGTGTAACTCAATTTTTAACAGCCCCTGACAGACTCTATTGAACCCAGATTTTGGTAAACTGTTGCTTTTATTTAAAACAAAGTCTAAAAATTAAGGAGGACCACTCTGAACTCTATTTGGAAAAAATCCCTACCAGTCCTTTCCACTTCTCTCATCCCTTCCTCCTCACAAAGGTATTTCTTTGGGATGGCTGTAAACAACAGTCAGGGGGATAGCAGTTTTGTGTATTTTGGCTTTTCAAAAGGCTTTGTAGGCAAAAGATCTCAGTGTAGTTTAGGAAACCAGCAGTGGTATTGGCATCATTAGGCTGAAAAGTATTCTCAAAAACTACATACGTTCTCACTTACTCTGCTTGCTTGCTTTCTTAGAAGAAAATGATTCATGATTAAAGAGGAAAAAATCCTTCTGTGACTGTGTAAGTAATAGAATCCATCCACAGAGAATCTTGATTACACACTCAAAGCTCAAGACGAGCAAGTCTTTCTCCACTTTCGGTCAAGCAAGACTTCTGTGCTGCTCCTGCCCTGCTGAAATTAATAGTTGAGGCTGATGCATGTGCACTCATCTACTTCAAAGAATGGACTGAGTCCAAGCAATTCTTCCGCTGCAACAGCCAGGTCTCCAAGAGAATACCCAAATAGCAATGTCACGGTCCATCATCTCCCCAGAGCTCCACTGCACATGCCCCTGCGTACCAGCTCAGCAATTCCAGCTATGTAAGAATATACGAAGGGATGTGAGGCCTTGAACTTTATACTCTGGCTGTAACCACCCTTCAGGAGCGGCTGAGACTCCCTCACAGGCTGCTGTTCTACCTAGGAGAAAGCCTGTGAGAATTTCTTTCCTTTGGACTACCCAGACAGCACCACAGGAGACAACAGAGCAGGTTAGGGTAGACAGTTAATGAATTAGCACAGAAACTTGAAGACAGAATTTTACCACAGCATGAATGTGTTATTTATCAAATAGTATATCCCCCAGTAACTTACACTTTTAAGAAACCAGAAGGAAAACAGTGTTTTGGATGTTTCCTTTTGACAGACTGTATTTCACATTTTGGGTAATAGTCTTGGCCCCTCTGTAATTCTTTCAGCCAAAATATTTAGACCAGCATGCCAAAAATCATACTCAAAAATCCAAATTTAAGCAGCTGAATCAAAGTGTCTTGCTTTTCTCAATTTCTATTCAAAGAGTTGGACCCCTTTTAACGCAACAAGAGATGAAGATGCCAATATTTGAAATGTATTTCATATAATGACTGAGAGAAGCTTTTGCAAAGAAAAAAAAAAGTGAACAAATCCATATGGATTATGTATGTGTTTATCCTTCACAAAGGCTGTTACAGAAATTTAGGTTGCTTTTTATTAAAGCTTCTTCTAAGTACAAGATGTTTGTAGCAAGCCATTATAGAAGACTGCCATCAAAAAGGATGAATACTTACCAATAAGGCTGATTAAAAGAAAAGTTATGCTCATCAAAATTGTTTAACCTCTCCTCAGTTTGCCTGTATACACAAGCATACTAAACTGTCAGCTGCTTTATGGGGAAATAATTCTAAAAGGACGAGTGTTCTTGACAATATCACCAGTGAATAAGAGTAAGCAGTTTTTCTTTCAGTAGGAAACAGAGGTCATTGCTTTATTTGTATGTTAAATTTATACTGTTCCAGAAAGTTTTTTTTTTCATTTCTGTTAAGAACGCTTTCAGTAGGAAACACTTATTACCATTTTTCTCCAATCTTCAAAGTGTCTTCAACCAATCGCAAACTCTTCTTCTGAAGATGAGGCTGGTTTGCATATTTGCATGGAGCAAATGAGGAAACTAGTTTCTGAAATTAAGACTAATTGTTTGTATGACAACTTGTACTTGCGACTTCAGGGTGTAATTTCTCTACTGACACTGGGAAAAGCTCATGAGAAACAGCACCACCAGCAAGTGAAGAATTCCCTCCGGGCAGGACAGTACAAGCAGTTGGTGTAACTGAAAGTGATGGTGTGATATTCTGGACAAGAAAGAATCAAGTCTGCACCATCATAGGTGTACATCGTATTTGGGCAGAAAAAAACAAGTGTATGTGGTCCCATGATTGAGGATTGCAGCATAATACATATGTGCAAGAAAAGTGTATGTTTCAGACATTCTGACTGAACAGGCATTTCTGAGTTGCAGTTGCATTGCTTCCATGATCACGTTTTTATGCGAGATATTTCTTAGAAATGTAAAATGACACGGGAAATGGAAAGAACTGCAACACAAAATCTCCAAGTTCCACTGAACTACCAGCAAAACGGGACATCTGGCCAACTACCAGCAACAGCCCATCCCCTGAAATTCAGGAGCAGTAAAGAGATTATTTGGCAGCAACTCTAAGTCTGCAGTAGCGTATTCCTCCCTTTCAGACCTTAATACATAGTTCCTAGGAAACACTTCATCCAGTTGTCTCTACTTCCAACCTCATGAAGCATATCAAAGCCTCTTAGAAATAGTTAAAGGAACACAGGGCAAAGAAATTTCTTCTATGTTTTATCTGAAGTAGGAGAGAAATTCAATGTGTGTCTTGTATGAAGTCTCTACAAATACTTTTGGAGACCAGAATTTCTGCGTCTGCTAGCAGAACCACTTGCAGAAAAAAAACATAGCAAGAACTGGGAATTGGGTTGAAAAGTAAACCAGCCAGTCCTACCCATCCTTTCTTTCTTCTGTACTGAACCGCACAGTGGAGACACCATCACCACACTGGAAACATTTCAAATAGCAGAGAGATCTATGCACATTAATCTGGGACAGGGTTTTCTCCCAGCGGATGCAACAGCCCTCCCATTCATTTTGTACCATAC